GGCTGAATTGCACAAAACGCATGATCGCACCGGCTAGCCTGGTGCGCGTTGCCATTTATTTGTTTTTCTGCGATTCATTGCGTTTTTCTTCATTTATGCAACTGGTAGTCTTTCCAGTTCCGCTGATCAATGCTGCATTGCCCGGTAGTCAGGCATCTTGCTATCGATTCGGAGACTCGTTTCATTTGCCAGAGGGATTACCGGATCCGGCAACTGAATGCAAGATAATTTGAATAAAAATGGATGGATGTGTTACTTGCTGAAAATATTGAATAACATTGAGATCATAAGAAAACCGAATAATTAAGATTGGCAATGTTGAAAGGGCAGCCACCTGTTTGTTGCTTCAGATCTGCCAATTATCCTTCCTACACAGCACTGCTCTGGAGGCTATTGGGCAGCAGAAGCGACACAGCTCGATCTTTTTCTCATTACCGCCCGGATCATATCCATCGCCTGCGATCGCTTCCATTGAGAATATCTTGTGGAAAGGGAAACAGGTCTGTTTGCTTATGCTTTCTTTTGCCGTCAACTATCGTTAGAATTCTGTCGCTGGACTGGTATCCTGGCACAAGAATCGGACGGAATCTTACCAAACATAAGACACTGCTATCTATCTATCCCTGATTTAGCACTTATTTGTTGTAGCGTGGTGAGCCACAATCTCTTGCGGTACTCTGCAGTTCCTCTTTATTTGGGTTGATGTTTGTTCCGTTTTAGTGTTCTCTGTTCGCGAATTTGTTTGAGCGAGCAGTTCTTGGCGGCTTAGTTGCCGTATCAACACAGCATCCTGGACTTTATCTTCAAGCAGCAGCTTATTACTATCGACAGGCGAACGAAGCCATTGCAGTACAGAAAGCATCACCATATCTGGCTGGATTATCATATCCCACTCCTGACCCATTGACCTCAGCAACTCCCACATTTTACGGCCAGCGGCCTTGGCGAGCTTCTGCTGAAGGCATCGATAACTATGTCGATGATGAAACCGAAAAAAACGCTTGTACTGCATTGGAAGTAAGAATTTTTTGTGCGATTTTTATTTTGTATAACCTTCCCAACATTTGTAGGTAACATAAGCAGTCTTTCAAGAGTGGAAATGATCTTCGTATTTTTGACATTTTTGAGAGGTTAAAAGTAATTGTTAGAAGTAAAATTCATATATAAGTATCCGGAACAGCTGGGCACTTCTTAACATTCTGCTGGTTTTCCATCTGAGCATCTGACAACTTTCCCATTTGCTTTGACTAATGACGTTTCATCTTGTGGCGATCCTACGACCTTCTTAAGAGGCTACGATCTTATTGGTTCCTTTAGCAAAAATTCGTGTCAAGCTTTAGCGATTTCGAGGTGTTTTTGATGTATTTTCCTCTTCCGAACTTACGCAGCTACTTTGAACTACTGTAATTTTGTAAGGGACGTAGGCTGTCTCTCTGTTTGCTGTCTTTCTGATTTCTCTCTCTTTCGCATATTTGTCTTGCAAATTAGCCACATAACTGTTCAGGGTATGACGAGTGAAAGGTTATACTGTTATTTCCCGCTCCTACCCGCATGCATTGCTCGGTTTGTGTTTACAGCTAAGGAATGAAGCACAGACTAACTACATCGTAAAATGCGCTCCGGCACATAACATTTAAGACCAATCCTTCTGTTCAACTATTTTACCGTTACGATTCCTTGTATCAGCAGAATGCATCAGCAACAGTCAACGTTCCCATACCCCCTGGTTATGGAAATGAAGCTGTACTTTGTTGTGCTGGTGAACTTCCCCCTTTCTTAGTACATCTCTCTTCTGCTCACTTTTACGTTATAAAATCATCACTTAACTGTTATCTTTCATATTCGGCATTCACTGCCTTAATTTTTATTTTTGGTATAGGTTGTTTGGCAAGCCCTATGTGCCAGACTGAGACCTTACATCTTGTTTGGAGATTTAAGCATGCTGAAATCAAACTGTTGCACTATGTGTCTTGCTTGCGCTGTCTTCTCAGCGACCACGGCACTCCACGGCTTGAATTATTAAAGATGGAAACTCCATAACACTCGAAAATTTCCATATTTCACAGGTGGCGTTATATCACTGTCCGAACAGACATCTCCTTAGTGAAGATTCTTCATCCTGCTGTATCTCATCTGCGTAGCCCTGTGCTGAAATCGTTATTCGTCAGTACTGTTTGCCTCATATAGATTAGAGTTGCCTACGAGATGTTTATCGAATGTAATGTCGAAGGCGGCACACTTTTTATTTCGTTTTTTTTTCGGTTCTTTTTTTCTCCGCAGATTTGGAGCTATTCTGAGGTATGGGAACTTATGGTAGCAATGAGCAATCTTTGCAAAATCGACTGATCCTCTTCGAAAGAGTTCACTACTTGGATAATGAAAGTTTCGTGATTGCAGTTAAGCTGTCATCCGAATCACGAGCGATGCATTGCGTTGCTTTCTTCGGCAATGTTGCAATTTAAGAAATACAAATGTCAGCGCATGCAGCGTTATATGATGCTGTTGCTCTCCGATGAATACTGCGCCATGGGTCAGAATGTCAAAGCGTTGCAGGTATGGCTACGTATACAAATACAGTAACAATGAATATCAATGGAAAGAAGTACCCGTAGTAATTGCATTACTTCAACGGATGATGTCTTGCAGTCATTGCGGGGATATGGAGGGCGTGGGGAAAGGGAGAGAGGGGGTGGGGAGGGAGAAACCGGCCTGCGCTGTAGTTTCTATTGTTAACATTCGAAGGCTTTATATTGGGCATTCAAGCGTTTTTGGCAATAATATGCCTAAAATACACCTTAGTGTTTTTAGAGGTCTGGGGATATTCGCTTCCGTTTTACGATTAGGCAATGCTAAAATCATCGAAGTGAGATGGGAATTGGAGGGGGGGGGGGGG